CTGCTGCTTCCCTGACCTTCCATTTCTTCTTTTCCACCAAACGCTCCCCATCGCAGATGGAGTCTTCTCCCTAAAAAAGCTTCAGCCAAGCAAATTCTCACTTATCCTCTCGGAGTTCAGATCAAATCCCCAGAGAGGGTTTTTCAGACTTCCAGGCCAGGTAAGGGCCTTCCTCCCCTGCCAAGATCTAGTCTCCCAATTCTTTGAACTTCCCCTTCCCAGATACCCACAACTATATTCCACAATTCACACCTTATTATACTTGTTAGGGCGTCCTGGTGTGGCACTGTAGGATAAGCACTAGATTGCTAACTGTAAGGTAGGCGATTCAAACCCCTCAGCCACTCCTTGGAAACCCTGTGCAGGGTCACTATGAGTTAGAACTGACTTCACAACATACTTGTTGTGCAGAGTCAGTCCATCTTGATTTGGGGTGATCTCATATGTTGCAGAGTAGAACTGCACGTTATACGGTTTTCGTGGCTGTGATCTTTCAGAAGCAGATTACCAGGCCTTTCTTCTGAGGTACCTCTGTGTGGGTTTGAACTATCAACCTTTCAGTTAATAGCTGAGTGCATAACCATTTGCCCCCAAAACCAACAAAATGAAAACATAGCACCAAACCCATTCCCAGAAAAGCAATTCTGTTTCACGGTGACCTACTATAGGGCTTCTGAGATGAAATCTTCACGGGAGCAGAGAGCCTCATCTTTCTCCTGAGGACTAGGTGGTGGGTTTGAACTGTCAACCTTGTGGTTAGCAGTTCAGTGCCTAACCCACCGCATCATCAGGTCTCCTTGTTTGCCTGAGTCTTTTAAACGTATAAATCACATAATCTCACTCCCCTGCTTAAAATCAGCAATCACTTTCCTCTCAAAATAAAACTCAACTCCTTCCAGGAGTCCCAAAGGCCCCACACAGTCTGTCCCTAACCAACTGTACCCTCACTTACCACCTCCTCCCACTCACTTATTCTGCTGTACTCACACAGGCCTTCATACTGCTCCTCAACACACTAAGTCCTGTCCTATCTTAGGACCTTTGCACTTGCTATTCCCTCTGCTTGGATGCCTTTCCTTGTTGACTTTTAAATCACTGTAGCCTTCTTGTCACTCTTACTTTTGGCTTTAATGTCTTTCCTGGCCACTTTGCTCAATCACATCACCCTGTTTGCCTTCTCATCATACAATGTGAGCTCCAGGAAAGCAGGGAGCTGGTGTATATTGTTCACAGTTGTGCTCTTGGAGCTGAGGAAAGGCCTCTGGCCTCTCTCCCTTCCCTCTGTGGACTCTCTCTGGTCTGCCTCAAAGGTTGACCCTGTAATGCCAATACCCAAGCTCTTCTGGGTCTGGCAGTCCCCTCCCTGGGTTCATTGCCCCCATGGCTGCCCACCTTGAGCACCAATTTGCTGGCAAAGTAGAAAAGGGCAACAACCCGACCCCAGTTGAAGTTGCCATCAGAAAACATCTCAGCTGCCACTCGGAAAAAGACTTCACGGGGGGAATCTGTGTCCACAGCTGAAATCATCCTGCAAGAAAGAGGAGGGGCCATGTTGGGGAGGGGGGCTAGTGGAGTGTAAGGCAGAGTGTGGGGAACCCCAGCATCCACTTGATGCCAAAGAGCAGGAAACAGAGGCCAAAGCCAGGGTGAAATCAAAAGCAAGAGGCAAGGGACGGGACCAAAAGGAAACAAGACCCTAAAGGTGTCAAGATCCTGGACAGGAGAGGGTTTAAAGTACAGAAAGGTAAGCTGAGCAGTGTCTAAGGAGGAGGGGGTGGGGTGGGAACTCTGGCGTTTGAAGGAGGGGCAGGGTGGATACTGCAGTATTTGAGGGAAAGGAGTAGGGGCAGGAATGCCTAGGTCCCCAGAACCACACCTCTGCAGCTCCAAGTTACTGTCCAGCTCATCCCCGATGCGCTTGAGACACTCGCTCAGCTTCTTGGTGGATGGATCCGGGGGTAGCCGCTCCAGGTCCAGCTCGGGTGTCTCCCCCCCAATCCGCTTGGCTCGATCCTGGATGAAACTACAGTGGGAATGGAGTATGGGGACGCAAAATCAGAATGGGGTGGCATGCTTTGAATCCGCTTCACAATAATCAGACCTCAAACTCACCCCTGAAGCAAAAGGGCCCCTGTCTTCATGATCTGCTCAGAGCTGGTGGGCCCTAGAGAAGAAAGGAGGGAAGGTGTGCCAGGACTTCTGGGTCCTAGGGGGCTGGGGAGGTTCATAGTGCTTGAAGAAGTGAAGGGACTCCTGGGTCCCTAGTAAGTAATGTCACTAGAGGACTAGATAGCTAGTTCCTGATGGAAAAGAGTCCAGAAGTCTGGGCTAGAAGCCAACTCATTTCCGGGAGAGGAGGCAGAGCGAACCTTCAAAGCATCCCGACCCCCAGCCTGAGGGGACAGGGGCGGGACGTGCCCCTCCCACCAGGGCAGAGGCAGGAAGTGATGCCCGAGACAAGTCCGGGCCTGCCCTGGGCTTGAATTCTGGAGTCTTCAGGTTCTCAGGGGTCTGAGGGCTCCCGGGAGAAACAGATCAGGGCACGGAGGCGGGGGAGGGGGAGCGGGGACCCCCGGGGAGATGGGGCTGAAGGCTGGCAGCGCCCGATCGGGGAGTTTCTGCCCCAGAGGGCTTGGAGATCCCACAGCCCCGGGCGGGGAGGAAGGATCCTGGGGACAGCCGGCGCGGGGGGCTCGTCCTTGTCCCGCCCGGCTGCCTCCTGCCTCACCCCCGCCTCTGGGCTGCTCCCCGGACCCGTCCATCACCGCCGCTCCGACCGCCGCAGCCTCTCGCCGGGTCCGCTCGGGCGGCCGCAGCGCGCCCTCGGTCACGTGATTGCCCCACTGAACGTGCGTCCGTCACGTGGCCGCCCCGCAAAATGGCCGCCGCTGGCTGCTGCCCCGCACCTTACCCGGGCACGCACGTGACTGCTTCTTTCCCGACCCTGGAGGGGAGCTTAACCTCTATCACGCGGTAGTTCCTTCAGTGCCCTCTATGAAAGAACTCTCTAGAACCGAACCCCAGATTGTGAGTTTTATTCATTCCGTATTTTCCAATGATTCGGGTGTGGGCCAAAGAGGCAACAAATGTAGGAAGCTTGTTGTTAAGAGCGGTTCCGACCTATAGAGACCCTGTATAGTGTTTCCAAGGAGCGGCTGGTGAGCTTGAACCGGTGAGCTTGCAGTTCAAACCGACTTTGCAGTCCAACGCATTAGCCCACAGCACCAGACAAGGACTCCTGGGGCTTGAGAGACCAAAAATATATTCTGGCAGGATGTTTCAGATGACAAAAGCTTAGGTTTATGTATGTGTATGAAAATAAAGGGAACATGAAATTTAAAAAGTGTTAAAATTATTCTATGGTGAAGGGTTGGCACTGGGGTGTTTGGAATCTGAGTAGTAGTTAAGTGGGTATGTTATTGTTTTTAGCTGCCATTGACTCCACCCCCTGCTCATGACAACTCCATGCACAACTGAACACAATGCTACCAGTCCTGTGCCATGTTCGTGAATACTTGGTGTTTTGGACCCTGTGATCCATAAGGTTTTCATTGACTGATTTTCAGAAGTAGATTATCAGGCCTGTGGTTTTAGCTCGTCCTAGTCTGGAAACTCCACCGAAACCTGTTCAGCCTCAGAGTAATACACACACTTCCATTCACAGATGGGTGCAAACCTGCACTGGAGGTGTGCTGGCTGGAAATAGAAGCGGGCTCTCCTCTCCTGCATGGATGGATGGAGAGAGTTCTGCCACTGGACCACCACTGTTCATTCTTGCGTTCAGAGCCCTAAACATTAAAGCTATGGTGGGGGAGGACGAGTTTTCGGTGAAATCTAAAGTCAAAAACCATTTACAGTCATGAAGATGCTGTATGGAAGCTGTGAAGTCCACTTCCAAGCTGGTCCCCAATGACGGTTGCCTTTAGGTGTTCATGCCCTTGCTTGTCCCCTCCCACATTGGGGTCCTCATGTGACATTGTAGGATAAGCACTGGACTGCTAACTCCGGGTTGCTGTTCAAACTCACCAGCCAATCCTCAAAACCTATATAGATAGGGTGGCTATGAGTCAGAACCAACTGGACAGAACTTAATAACAACAACAGTGCACAGAGCTGACCAGTGTGACCAATAGATGATGGTAGTGATGGAGTGTAATTAACAAGGTGGGTTATTTCATAAACGTCTTTGCACTCTGACATGTTCTTCAAACCTTGGGCCAAAATTAACCCCTGAGGTCAACCTGTAGCCAAATGACAAATTGTCTCAAAGAATATCATCCATAGGTAGGTACTGTGTGCCTGAAAAAAAAATCACCTATATGAAACTGAAAGGACAACAATTACTTTAAAGTATAGTTCAAAGGAGCTCTGGTAGCGTAGTGGTTACGAATCGGGCTGTGAACCGCAAGGTCAGCAGTTCAAAACTACCAGCTGTTCCGCGGGAGAAAGATGAGGCTTTCAGCTCCCGTAAAGATTTACGGCCTCAGAAACCTTGTACAGGGTCGCTATGAGTCGGAACCAACTCCACAGCACTTAACAACAACATAGTTGAATTCAAGGAGAGATAGTGACAGATTAGGGGAGCCAGAAGAGGAAAGTTGGATTGGATGGTTCTTCAGAAAGGGTGATTTCTGAGGTGAGGAATCTGAGATGATTTCAGAAGGAATGAGGGTCAAAATCCAGAGAAGCTGGGGCAGACAAACCATGTTGTTGTTGTTACATGCTGTCAATTGGAAGAACCTGTATAGAGTTTTTGAGGAGCAGCTGGTGGGTTTGAACTGCCGACTTTGTGGTCTGCAGTCCAATGCTGATCCACAGCACCACACCAGAAATCCAACCATAGAGTTTGTGAAAAATGTGGTTTTGTCCCCTCCTTCCCACACCCTCCCACCCATATTATTCTTTAGTGTCCAGTTTCATGGTGAGCTTCCTAGCTCCTGCCAAATCACCACAGCCAAGATCTCTATAGAAACCATGCCTTTATTGATTTAGGACAGACATCAGTGTTTGTCTTGGGGGAAGGTGACTCCAATGACTTTCCTCACTTCTTCAAGGATGTCAGCCAGGAGCTCACTTTCCGCCAGGGGGATCACAGGACTCTCCTTCAAGCCTGGAGGGAAAGTGCAGCTACGGAGTTAGGGAACCCTCCTACCTATATACCCTACCAGCAAAAGAGCACAGAGATTTAAAAAACAAAACAAAACTACCATTCCCAGAATCCCATGAGACAACAATGTATAGTCCAGGCAGATGGATGCCTCAGGGGTTCCTGGGAAATGTAGTTCTAAACTGTTGCTGGAGCCACTGAGGGGATGGGGAGTTGGCCCAACTTCTCCCCTCTAGGCATGGTTCTGCCTTCTCTCTCCCCCTCCACACCCCCGCTCCCTACCCCACATTCTTACCCTTGCGCAGGCATTCCAGGACATGCTTGGCCTCATAACTCATGCCTGTCCCGTTTGTAAAATTGAACTTATCCGCAGTGGGGGGCAGCGGGAACTCCTTATGCACCCCCTTCACCACCAGCTCTGTTGGGCACCAGCAGGGATCCAGGATCTGGGGGGAGATAAGATCCTGGAAGTGAAGGGACCATGCTGTTGTTGCTAAATAGGGCTGCTAAGGACTCCCACCCAAGGATGTGATTGATTGGTAAATGCTCACGGGCTTCTCACCCACTCCTGGTGGCTACGGGGCTTGCTCTCACCCAAATCTGGGGTGGGGACTGGTCTCAGTCCTTCATCCTCAGTGATTGCTAGGGCTGGTTGCTAGGGGTTTATTCCTTTATCAATAAGACTGTCTGACTAAATTCTATTTGTTTAGTTTTCCCAGGGCAAATCCCTTTCTAAGCTGATAACTAAAGAAGCACTGAAGTCCTGGTGGTGTGGCGCTGTAGGGTAAAGCACTGGACCACAGGTTAGCTTGAACCACAAGATCAGTGGTTCAAACTCACCCGTGGCTCCTTATAAACCCTTTACAGGGTGGCTATGAGTTGGAACTGACTCATCACTCATTGGCACTTAACAATAACAATAATAGAGCTTAAGCACTGGGCTACTAATCCAAAATTGATGACTAAAGCTCACCCAGGATGTTCTGCGGGAGAAAGACCTGCCAATTGGTTTCCATAAAGGTTATAGGCGATCGGGTATTACTACCCTTTAGGGCAGTTCTATTCTATCATATGGGGACACTGACTTGTAATCAATTTGACAGTTTGCAACAACATCCAACAACCACCTGATAGCTGAGAATCAGTTATTCTTTGTTGTTACTTGGTCCTCCTGTTGTTGTTATTGTTAAGTGCTGTCAAGTCGGTTCCAACTCAGTAACACTGTATAGGGTTTCCGAGGAATGGCTGGTGGGTTTGAACCGCTGACCTTGCGGCTCCAACTAACCTTGTGGTCCAGTGCATTATCCTGCAGCGCCACACCAGGACGCCACAGTACCTACAGATGTGCAGCCTACAACTATTCCATAGTGTGTGTGTGGCTGTGACCTAGTAAAGCAGAGTATCAGGCTTGTCTTTTGAGGTGTCTCTGAGGGGATTGAACCTCCAACCTTTTATCTAGTAATTGGAAGCTTAGCCATTTGCCATACCTGGCAGCTTAGCTTTGTGCCTTTGTGAATCCTTGTTGATGTTGTTATGTGCCGTGGAGTCAATTCTGACTCATAGCGACCCTGTACAGGGTTTCTGAGGCTGTAAATCTTTACGGGAGCAGAAAGCCTCATCTTTCTCCCGCGGAACGGCTGGTAGTTTCGAACTGCTGACCTTGCGGTTCACAGTCCGATTGTGAATCCTTAGGGAGAAGGAAACCCAGACATTCCAGCCTCTTGCTCTCACTAGGTTTTGACTTTCACCGCAGGTGCTTGGATAAGCCCACATTATCCCCATGACCAAATCTGGATCAAAATGCTGAACCGAAGTACCATCCTCTTTCCTCATAAGTGAGGCCTTAAGGGTTGAGATCCCTCCGAATTTTAGGTAAGCAAAGGCTCAACTCCTTCTGCAGCCTTGGCTGCAGAATTCTGTCTGTGTTGCTACAAAATTTCTTTCTAGCAAGAGCGCTCCTAAAGGGCCCATGAAGCTGAAATCGATATTGCCCTGGAAGGAATTCCAAAGACCACAACTACACTGTAAGCATGGTTGATTAAGGACAGGTTTCTCCTTAGGCCTAGCGGTATTTATTTGAGAGACCGATGTTCACCCTCAGGAAGGGACTTGGAGGTCCAAATGTCATTCTGGGCCGGGCTGGAAAGGAGAATGAATCTCTAAACAAGAGTGTGAAAATACCTAATCAGCCCCCATTCCACCTTCCAACAACCACAAGTGACCCTCTCCCATTGCTGAGAATCTTGATTCCCAACATGTGACTTCCAGGTCCATGACCTCTCACCTGGGCCATGCCCTTAGTGCCGCTCACAGAGGCTGTGTTGGATAGCTGGGCAGTGATGCTGCAGGTGAAGCTTCCGTGGACCCCTCCTGGGTACTGCAGTAGCACAGTGACCGTGTCATCCACACCTGGGAGGAAGGAAGGGCTCAGGGGGAGGGCTGAGGGCTCAGGAGTCAAATCCTGTCTAGGAACCTGGGACAAGAGAGCTTGCCTTCAAGTTGCTAGTTCACAAAGACAGTGTTCTACATCCTACTTTGTTGAGTCGTGACTGGCATCTTACAAGCTGATGAGTGGCCATCTGAGTTGCAACTATTATTCTCTCCATGTACGGAAAAAAGAATGATGAAAACTGAAGATCCAGTGGACTAACGGAACATGTGACCATCAGTCTCCAGGACTCTGAGGCCAGAAGAACTAGACAGTACCGGCTACCACTACCAACTGCTCCCAAAGGGATCCTATTAGAAGGTTCCAGATAGAGTGGGAGAAAATGCAGAACAAAACTCAAAAATTATTTTAAAAAAAACAAAAAAAAGACCAGGCTGGAGGTCAACGGCTGGAGGAACCTGAGACTGTGGCCCTCAGTGAGTTAGTTACCTTTCAGGTCTGGAACAGACCTCACCCCTCAGGATTCAGTTTTCAAGCAAGTGTTACATAGAAGGGACAACATTAGTGAGGTAGGCTCACCATGGAATGGTCAACCGTTCAAGATCCAAAGGGCAATTATTTCCCTAAGGACAAAGTTGAGAAGGGATGCAGAGGTGAGTGGAATGCAAATAGGAGCCACAGGGAGGAAGTGGGATCACACTTGTTCCATGGAGGGGATTGTAATCATTGAGATGAAACAAAGTGTCTGATTTGTTGAATGTACAACAGATGATCTTGTCTGTGAACCTTCACTCAATCCACAATAAAAAGTTTCAAAAGAGAGGGAGAGAGCCTGCCTGTTATCTGTAGAAAAGAACAAAGGTCTTGGTAAAAGAGTATATATATTTCTACTAAAGCTCCTCAGACAATAAATAACCTGTCACCTGCAGGACATGTGAGACTGTCCTTGACCATCCAGCCCCAACCAATGGCCAGCTGACCACAGCTGCATGAGTGAGCCCAGAAGAGGAACCAGTCAAACTGAACCTAGCCCAAATGACCAATCCACAGAAGCACAAGCTAATCAATTATTGCCATTTTAAATCACTGAAATTTGGGGCAGTCTGTTATGTAGCAAACGTTCATTGATACCACCTAAAAAAAATAGCAGATTTATAAATCTGTAGGATAAGCACTTGGCCGCAAGGACAGTTTGAACTGCAAAATCGGCAGTTCAAACCTACCAGTCACTCCTCAGAAACCCTATACTGGGTCGCTGTGCGTCAGAACCGACTTGATGACACTTAGCAATGGTTTGCCTCAACAGTCATTTCATGCACTCCTGATGGAAGCTGTATTGTTGACATTTTATCAATAAAGTAAGACTCAGTGATACTGGCAAAGATCACACAGAGCTTGCTCACGCTATCAACTCGGAACCTTTTTGACTTTCTGTGGGAAGTTCCTCCAGTTGTCTAACCTCATCCCCTTGGGCTAGATTATTCATTTCCAGCTCAGTGCTGTCACTATGAAGTACCTATTCCCACCGAATTGATTCTGACTCATAGTGACCCTATGTTGTTGTTGAGTGCTCTCAAGTTGATAGGACAGCATCGAACTACCTCATAAGGTTTCCAAGGTTGTCATCTTTAGGAAAGTGGACTGCCACGTCTTTCTCCCATGGAGCCACTGGTGGGCTTGAACCACCAACCTTTTGGTTAGTAACTGAATGCTTGACCAATGTGCCAACAGTGCTCTTCAATATCAAGTTGTCTCTGCTGGCCCTTACCAGTTTCATGGCGCCTTCCCATGGCTGAAATCTTCTCAGGCCTCTGCCTGCCGAAGACCATGGAGATGAACTGGAGGCAGTAGATGCCGATGTCCAGCAGACCTCCACCAGCCTGTGCCCAGTCTAAGGCCCGGGGTACATGGGTGAGGTCATTCCCAAATTCCGCCCGTGCCACTCGAAGGTCCCCCAGAGCTCCCTGGGCCAGGGCAGTCCTCAGAGCATCATAGGCAGGAAAAAAGCGTGTCCAGATGGCCTGTAGAGCACAGAAGGCCGAGGTTAGGACGCGGGAGGGAAGAGAAAGAGTCAGGCCCTGGGCTTTAACCAATTACTATCTCTCCCATATGTATGCGAAAGAAAGTTGGACAATGAATAAGGAAGACCCTAGAAGAATTGATGCCTTTGAGTTATGGTGCTGGAAGAGAATATTGAAAGTACCACAGGCTGGCAAAAGAACCAACGGATCTGTATTGGAAGAAGTGCAGCCAGAATGCTCCTTGGAGGAAGCCAGGATGACCAGACTTCTTCTCTCATACTTCAGACATATTACCAGAAAGGACCTGTCCCTGGAGAAAGACATGTTTGGTAAAGCAGAGGGTCAGAGAAAAAGAGGAAGGCCCCCCTCCCCCACAATGAGATGGCTTGGCACCGTGGCAGCAGAAATGATGTAAGGGTGGTTCGGGACCAAGCGATGTTTTGTTCTGTGGTACATAAGGTCGCTGTGAGTCGGTATGGACTGGATGGCACTTAGCAAGGACAGCAAATGTCTTCCAGCTGGGTGTATTCTGGGGTTCTAATCTTGAGTCCTGGTGTGGCACTGTAGGATAAGCACTGGATTGCAAGGTCGGTTTGAACCACAAGGTCAGCAGTTCAAACTCACCAGCCGCTCCTTGGAAGCCTTATATAGGGGTCACTATAAGGTGACTTGACAGCACTTAACAACAGTCTTGAAGTATTACCATTACCCCACTGTCTCCAAACCAGACTCCTCTCTCTTCCGTCTCGCAGCCCAGGATTGTCACTGGTTTGAAACCACCGGCAATCTGGGGAAGACAAATGTGGATCACCTTTGGAAGGGTCCCTGAGCCATCACCTCCATAAGGAAGAGGCCTCTGGAGCGAGCCTCCGCAACCATTTCCCGCACTTCTGCAGCATTCACGCCCATAGGTTTCTCGCAGAGGACGGCCTTGCCTGCTGCCAGGCAGGACATCACGGCAGCCTTGTGTTGCGGATGTTGGGTGCCAATGTACGCCACCTCTAGGATGGAGGAAGGAAGTTAATATCATTAACCCCGCCCACTCGTGGTCTAGACCCGCCCACAACATAGTGGCCACGCCTCCGCATAACAGGGAACCCTAGCCCCGCCCTCCAACCAGGGAGAACTGCCCGCCCTACTGGTGAGACCCGGGAGACCTGGTGTGGTGCGGTAGAATAAGCAAGGGACTGCTAACCACAAGGTCTGAGGTTCAAACCCACAAGGTCAAACTTACCTGAAGCTCCTCTGAATCCCTATATACATGATGGCTATGACTCAGAACCGGCTCAATAGTACTTAACAACAGTGGTCAGACCCTAGTCTTCCATGAGGAAAAATTAATGCATTAACTGGCATAAATAGTTAATATGCTTGGTGGTTGTCCGAGTTGGTAGTTGGATTCCACCCAGGGGGGTGACTCAGAAGAAAGGCCAGACAATCTACTTGTGAAAAAATTTGCTGCTGAAAATTCTGTGGAGTGCAATGCTACTCTGACATGTCACAGTAAGTAGAAAAGTATTGTTACAAAATCACAGAAACCTTTATTAAACAAATATATCAAGATGTGTAACTACTGTTGCATATACTTCTGAAGGCAGTGTTTCCATCTCTCTGGCCCTTCCCAGCTTCTAGTGCTTACGAGATGGGCTGCTCCACAGGAGAAAGACAGGACTTTCTGTCCTCATAAAGATTTATGGTAAACCTTTACCACCACTAGCCCTTCCCTGAAGAATTCTGCATTCTTTGATTTCTACTGTGTCAAAATAGATGCAGTTTGGGCATTCTCCAGGGACTCAAATCATGTTCCTTCAAGATGTTCTTTGAATTTGGGAAACAAAGTCTGATTGAGCAAGATCAGGACTATAGGGTGGATAGGGTAAGGTTTCCCAACAAAATACCCCTAAGACAGCCCTTACTACCCTGGAAGGAGGAGGAGGTGCATTGTCAGGATGGAAAAAATTCCTCAGCTCAACTTTCCTAGTCTTTTTCTCACCAATGCAATTTTCCATTTTCTTAAGACTTCTTCCTAATAAGCCCCTGTGGTTGTCCTATGTCCTTAGAGAAAATCTATCAGGCTTGTTGCCTGCTGTTGTTAAGCGTTGTTGAGTTGACTCGGACTCACAGTGACCCTGCATAGGGTTTCTGAGGAGTAGCTGGTGGGCTTGAACTGCAAATCTTGTGGTTCTCAGGTGAGTGTTGATCCTATAGAGCCCCACCGGCAGTCTCTACCAAGATGATTCCTTTGAAACCCCCCACACAGTCACCATAACCTTCGGAGCGGTTCTCTCTGCCTTGTATTTAAGTGACCCAGCAGATCCCCTCAGAAGCCATTGCTTTGATTGTCCCTTTTTTGTAAAGCCATCATCCTAAGGCGACTAAGACAAGTGTATATTACTGAGAGAACTTGCCTGTAGCTATTCACGGATGGCAGAGACATGGTAAACATGTTTTGTTTGGAATAGACCTGTATGAACTGGTACTGTAGTCGCAGTACTTTTTGACCATAGTGTATGGGTTTCCATGAGTTAGATGGCAGCTGTTATTTATATAACCACTTATTGTCACTGGTAACCATTCCTACCACCATTCTATTTTCTTCAGATCATTTCTAGCTCTCTGAAATTATCATGTTAAATTAATGACTCCTCACATCAATACCAAATTGTTGCTATTATTCCGTACAATCCAGTTCATCTCAACTCATGCATATCAGAGTAGAACTGTGCTCATAGGGTTTTTGTGTCTGTGAACTTTAGAAGGAGATTGCCAAAGCCTTTCTTCCCAGGTGCCTCTGTGTGGGTTCCAACCACCAGCCTTTCTTTCAGCACTAAGCCATATGTGTACACTTTATGTTGCCCGTTTTGCAAATGAGAAAACTGAGAAGGGCATGCAGAGGAAGAAAGTGGGCAGCCTAACCCCTGAGCCAGGGTGTTACCCACTACACAGCCCTGCTTCTGGATACCCGCTGCTTGGGAACGTAAAGCCTGCCAGAAAGGTATTATTTGAATCCTTGCAGGGGACCCTCTGCATCTTGGGAAATTGAAGCCCTGCCCTAATAGCTTGTTGTTAGTACCATTCAGTCCCGTTCCCACTCATAGCAACCCTGTATAGGGTTTCCAAGAAGCGGCTGGTGAGTTTGGATCACCAACCTTGGGGTTCAAACTGATTTTGAGGTCCAGTACTTATCCTAAGGTGCCACACCAGGACCCTGTCTCATGAGACGCAATGTAATTATCCACAGCCCATGGTAGACTCCAGGGCACATAAAAACAACAACAACAAAGTAGCCTAGTGGTTAAGAGTCCGGTTGCTAACCTCAAGGTCAGCAGTTTGAAACTACCCACCGTTCTGCAGGACAAAGATGAGGCTTTCTGCTTCCATAAAGATTTACAGCCTCAGAAATCCTACGTTGGGTCGCTATGAGTCGGAACCGACTCCGTAGCACACCACCCTAGAGCAAGTCATGTTCCTACAGCTTTACCTCCCAACCCAACGGGCTTCCAGAACCCCAAGAAGGATTCTTCTAGGGAGCTAAGAAACAATATGGGGTGGGGGGAGTCATAATATTCAGCACTCACCCACTTTCGGGTCCTTGGCAAGTTCCTCATAGGAGCCGTAAGCTTTGGGGATGTCATGTTTCTGGGCAAACTCCTGCGCTCGGCTTAGGTCGCGGGCCGCCACTGCCACCACCTGGAGAAAGGCCAGGATCAAGCAAGGGGTCGCTTTTCAAGGATGGGGAGGGTGTGAAAGCAGGTAGATGGGAGGGTGGGGGAAGAGGTGACTGGAAGCTGGACACTTGCGTCCTGGGAAGACAGGGGTATAGGAACAACAGTGATTACATTCCCTAACATCTAAATTGCCCTGGTGACGCTATGAGTTGGGCGTTGGACTGACTGCCAACTGCAAGGTCTGCAGTTCAAACACATCAGCAGATCTGCAGGAAAAAGATGAGGCGGTCTGCTCTGTAAAGATTCATACAGGGTGAGTATGAGTCGGAATTAAGTGGATGGCAGTGGTTCACAGTTACAAGTAACAGCATCTTATATAGAGATGCTCCCAAACCTCAAGAACATGTGTTTACAGGTCAGAGTGAGAAGCAATGTTGTTGTTGTTGTTAAGTGCCATCGAGTTGTCGTTTCCGACCCATAGTGACCCTGTACAGGGTTTCCGAGGCTGTACATCTTTACGGGAGCAGAACGCCTCATCTTTCTCCCGCGTAGGGGCTGGTAGTTTCGAACTGCTGGCCTTAAGGTTCGCAGTCCATTCGTAACCACTACGCTACCAGAGCTCCATGCAATGAGTAGGTTATTAAGTGCCTCGCTGCATCGAAGACTAGGAAATCCAAAATCCTAAATTAGGGTCCATAACCCCAAACTTCCTCAGATCCAGGAGTCAGCCCCCTCCCTTCCATCCCTCATCCACCCGACTCAGATGGGAGGGCGGACCTGATGCTCCGAGCGAGGCAACATATGCAGCACCTTCGTGAAGTCGCTGGATATGAGGCCAACGGACACGATGCCCCAGCGAAGCGCCATTCTTGCTACCTAGAGTCCCAAAGCTTCAGAGGGCGCCGCTGCGCAATTTAAAGACGTGCAGCCCGCCCGTGAAAGGGAGGAGTCTTAGACTCCACCCCTCTTGTTTCCTACGTTACCGCTTTGACCAACAGAGTTCCCTCTCCTCCATACCCAATGCTCATTGGTCCCGGAAAGGGCACACTCAAACGGTGAGGCCTTGTGGTTCTAACATCTTCATTGGAAGAAGGGAGGAGTTGGCACAAGAAACGGTATTCATAGGTCTTCGCTGCAGGATTCTTAGCGCTTGATTTTAAGAGAGCCTTGTTGTCAACTCTGACCCTTTTTGGGGAGAGTGTTCTCTTGTCCTGCTTCTCTCGCCCCAATCCTTGGCTTAGAAAGTCATGTAACCTTAGCAGTTTCCAGAGGAAGAGAGAGAAGTCTGGTAATATCAAAGATAATTATCGTTGTATGTTTATTTATACATGTTATAGATGGTGTGGGAGGAGCTCTGGTAGCGTAGTGATTGCTGCTAACCTCAAGGTCAGAAGTTGGAAACTACCAACTGTTCTGAGGGAGAAAGATGAGGATTTACAGCCTCGGAAAACCATGCAGGTCCCTCACTATGAGTTGGAACAGACTCCATGGCACACCACCACCACCACCATATATGGTGTGGCGTTCTGGTGTGGCGCTGTGGGTTAATGAGCTGGACTGCAAAGTCGGTTTAGACTACAAGGTCAGCGATTCAAGCTCACCAGCCGCTCCTCGGAAACCCTATACAGGGTCACTATGGGTCGGAACAAACTCAATGACACTAACAACAATAGCATATTTATTTAGCTTTTTCAGAGCTCCTAAACAGCAGTATAGCCGGTTGTTTTTTAAAAAACTGTAACCCCTGGAAGCAGCCGATTTGCAGATCTTTGCTTCCTGGCTATATTGGAAAATAGAAAAATAACATTTATACAGAGCCTGCTGTGGGTTGAAGTCCTTCATTTCTCATTGCCTGCCCAGCAAGCGCTCGGTTAGAGTGGTCTCAATCAAGGCTGATAAAACAGTCGTAATTTTTCTCTATTTCCCAATACAGCCAGAAAGCAAAGACCCATAAAATCATGTTTCCAGAGGCCACAGTTTAAAATAAAAACAAGATGTACTGCTGTTCCTTCTGAGCCCTGGAGCCAAGCTAAATAGTTCTCATTCCTGGTTTTCTTCTTTCTAGTCGTATAGCTTTGGACAAGGCAATTTTCTCTTGAGACTTACTTTTTGATTCTGGAAAATGGGTCACAATAGCACTGTCCTAAGGAGCTCTGGTAGTGTAGTGGTTACGAGTTGGGCTGTGAACCTCAGGGTCAGCAGTTCGAAACGACCAGCTGTTTGGCGGGAGACACATGAGGCTTTCTGCTCCCATAAAGATTTACAACCTCGGAAACCCTGTACAGGGTTGCTATGAGTCGGAACCGACTCCATGGCACATAACAACAACAACAACAAACCAGTCCTGGTGTGGTGCAGAAGGATAAGCATTGGATTGTCAACTGAGAGGTTAGTTCAAACCCACCAGGTTTCAAACTCTAACTGAGAGGTTAGTTCAAACCCTATACAGAGTGGCTATGAGTCGGAACCAACTCGATGGCACTTAACAACAAAACCCAGCTACCATGGGACTTTAGCATGTTGCATGTTGCCAATGTTTTGTGCTCAAATACTAGGAGTCCTAAGGAGATCTGGTAGCATAGTGGTTACGAGTTGGGTTGCCATCTGCAAGGTCAGCAGTTCAAAACTACCAGCGGTTCCACGGGAGAAAAGATGAGGCTTTTCTGCTCCCATAAAGATTTACAGCCTCGGAAGCCCTGTACAGGGTCACTATGAGTCAGAACCGACTCCACAGCACATAACAACAGCAACAACTAGGAGTCCTGGATTAATGCGCCAGACTGCAAAGCCGTTTGAACCACAAGGTTGGTGGTTCAAGCTCACCAGCTGCTTCTTGGAAACCCTATACAGGGTCGGTCGGAATCCACTTAATAGCACTTAACAACAACAACTAGCTGAAAGGTTTACTGCCTCGAATTCACCCAGTGCAACAGAATGAAGGCCTGGCAGTCTGCTTCAGTAAGATTATAGCCACCTGATTCCAAATCAACTTGAGGGTGACAGGTTACCTGTTGTCGTCATGTCAACTCATGGAGACCCTATGGATGACAGAGAACTGTGCTCCACAAGGTTGTCTAGAAGTAGATCACCACACGTTTCTTCTGAGGTGACTCTGGGCAGACTCGAACCTCCAACCTTTTGGTTTACAGAGAAGCATGTCAACCCTTTGCTCCATTCAGGGACTCCTCAATAGGGTTATTAGGTGGAGTCGCTGAATTTGGAGATTTATTACATAAGCTGAAGTAAATCATTATCCTCTACATTGGACTCTGGTGTGGTGCTGCGGGATCATGTGCTGGACTGCAAGGTCGGTTTGAACCACAAGATTGGCAGTTCAAACGCACCAGCTGCTCCTCAGAAACCCTATATAGTGTCACTGTGAGTCGGAACCGGCTCGACAGCACTTGACAAGTTTAACAACAAATTGCATTCAACAAGAGGAAGTTAATTTGAAAAAGTACTGATCTAGTAGGGAATGATAGATGATGCCTGGCTACAATGACCAACTGCTCTTAAAGGGATCACACTAGATAGTTCCGAAGGTTGTTGTTGTTAAGTGCCGTCAAGTCAGTTCCAACCCATGGCAACCCAGTATAGGGGTTCTGAGGAGCGGCTGATGAGCTTGAACTGCTGATTTTGTGGTTCAAACAACTTTGCAGCCCAGTGCATTAACCCACAGCACCACACCAGGACGCTACAGTTCTGAATAGAGTGGGAGAAAATGTGGAACAAAACTCGAAATCATCTAAGAGACCAGGCTTACTGGGAGAGACTGGTGGACCCCTGACATTGTGACCTTTAGTTACCCTTCAAATCTAAGACTGAATTCACCTCCACGGCTCAATTTTCAGCTAAATGGTTGCTGTTGTGAAGTACCACCGAGTTGGTTCTGACCCATAGCGATCCTGTGTAGGGTTTCCAAGGAGCGGCTGGTGTGCTTGAACTGGTGGCATTGTGGTTCAAACAACTTTGCAGTCCAGTGCATTAACCCCCAGAGCACCACCAGGACACCTGCTAAATGGTAGACCGGTTTCTATGGGAACAGTAACAAACTTTGGTACATACTCACAATGGAATCGTACTCAATGAGAAGTTATAATGATAAACACCTCACAACGTGGATGAAGCTGGAGGACATTAAAAAGTTTATATACAAAAAAAGATTTACAGTCTTGGAAATCCTGTATAGGGTTGCTATGAATGTAAATCTTTTATAGATATATAAACGTTTTATTGTGAATTGAGTAAAGGTTTACAGAACAGATCATCACTTTTATAGTTAGCAAATCATATACTTCATTTCATTACGATGATTACAATCCCCTCTGTGTACCATCAGGTAATAATATTTCCCTCTGTTCACCCTAACTTTACATTCCTCCCCATGTCTTCCGCTACCTTCATCTTTCTTCTGCCAGCCTCCCTCTTGTATGTCATCTTCCCCACTACCCAAGTTAACATGTGTCTGTCTACCACTTTTATTGTTGTTATGTGCCGTGGAGTCAGAACCAACTCATAGCGACCCTGTACAGGGTTTCCGAGGCTGTAAATCTTTATGGGAGCAGAAAGCCTCATCTTTCTCCCGTGGAACAGCTGGTAGTTTCGAACTGCTAACCTTGCAGTTCACAGCCCGATTCGTAACCACTACGCTACCAGAGCTCCTACCACTCTAGCCACTTAATATTTTTCCCTTCCCTCCCACCTCTAGTAACCACCATGAAATGTTTCTTTTATCAAGAAAATCTTTTCTTAATTTTTTGCAACATTGGTCTCATATGATATTTGTCCTTTTGTGATTGGCTAACTTCACGCAGCATAATGTCCTCCAGGTTTTTCCACATTGTGAGGTGTTTTTCAGATTCATCATTAGTCATTGTTGAGTATGATTCCATTGTGTGTATGTACCAAAGTCTGTTATTGTTCCCATAGAGACCTGTCGACCATTTAGCTGAAAAGTCAGCCATGGATGGCTCAGGACTGGGAAGTGTTTTGTTCTGTTGTGCGTAGGGTCGATATGAGTTGGATCCAACTCGACAGCGCCTAACAACAACAGTGTAGCACTGACTGGTGGCAGTTAGGCATTGGGCTGCTAACCCAAAGGTCAGCAGTTCAAACCCACCAGTCACTCTACAGGACAAAGATGAGGCTGTCTGCTCCTGTAAAGACCCTATAGAGGGTCATTATGAGTCAGAATCCACTCGAAGGTAGTGGGTTTATAACCTTCAGAACAACTCTGTGAGGTAGGTCCTGTTATTAACCCAACTGGATAGATGAGGAAACAGAGAGGTTCCGAACTTTTGCTAAAAGTCACACAGCTAGAAAGTGGAAAGGCTGGGATTGAACCCCAGCCAACTCCAGAGTCCACATGCTAAACATGTGCACCGAGCTTGATTGAATTAAGAACCAGCCTCCTCTGCTGAAAAGCTCCAACACCTTCAGCCCCAGCATGGGGGTGGGTGGGGGTGGGGGAGCAAGAACACGGAAGAGAGAAAGTGAGGTGACCCAGGACAACCCACCTGTAGGGCCTCACCAAGGACTGTCACATCGAGTGACAAGTTTGTATGAGGGGCTTCAAAAAGCTCATGGGGCAATGGAATGGAAAGATAATGGAGCTTCCCCACAAGCTTTTTCAAGCCCTCTCATATATGTGGTGGTGTTGTTTATGTGCTGCGGAGTTGGTTCCAACTCATAGCGACCCTGTACAGGGTTTCCTAAATTGTAAATCTTTATGGGAGCAGAAAGCCTCATCTTTCTCCCACGGAACAGCTGGTAGTTTTGAACTGCTGACCTTGCGGTTCACAGCCCGATTCATACCCACTACACTACCAGAATGAATTTTATAAAGTTCTATAAGAATTTTAGCTAACCATCAAAGACTAGGAAAAG